CAATCCACTCACTAATGTTTTGCTAGCTATTCTATTAACCGGGCTTGAATCATACCATCAAAAGATGGCTTGCAGAAACATACAACTGGGAACAGGCTAACGCATCCGCTGTGGGGGGAGGGGCTCTGAGAGGAGACGCGCTTTTGATTAGGGGGGAGCAGCTGCGGGTAACTCCTGTTAGGATACTGAGCCATTCTATATCAACCTACAAGCTCTTGCAAGGCTCTCGTATCTCAAAGAAATATTTTACGAACAACGCATCCTGCGCCATGCTCAACCGAAATGCGCAGCCACGCCCTCTCCATCGCGCGGTGTAAAACGTTGTGAGCTCAGAATGACAGGGAGTATACAGTATCCACAACTGCACGTAGAATCACGCCTGAATGAATGAGCAAAGTTCCTCATTGGTGCGCAACACCGAAGCTTCTGCTCAGGGAGGATGAAACACGGAATTTCCTTCCCGTCTGACCTGCTAAGAGCTTATTTCTTTTGAATAGTTAATGCTCCTATGTGGAAGATGTGGCAGAATTCGTCTCTTCGGCAAATAGTAGTACTTCGCTTGTAATTTGAAAACTTCCTGAAAACAAATTCGTCAAATTTGTCCCAAACATAATTATCCATACATCACTATACCGGTTTCCAGAAGGTGTCCAAATTCTTTTTTTCAAACTTATTCTTATCATTTTACCAGTATCGCCATAGCTATTCTGTCAACGAAAATCTTTTTCAAATCGACAGTAGACTCTTTTTAGTGTGTTGGGAAATTCGTAGAACGGAAGGTGAAAGTGCAGAAAGTGAATCTGATAACAGTCAATGATGGCAGGGAGAAACGGTTGGGTGACTATTTGAGAAAATACATAGCGGCTTTGTAGAAAACCAAAAACAAACAAAAATACAACCAGAGAATCAAAATAATCGATATTATTGTGACGCCTAGCGCTCTGTGAATAGCATTTCAAATTGTTCGAAGCTGTAGAGAGCAAGAGTTTGGAGCGAGACATTTTCATGAATGTTTGTCCAGATAGCTTATAGTGCAGGCGGGATACGGTGAAGGCAGTAGTTTGTCGCGTCACCGCGCGCGGCGCTTGTGTGCTAGTGGGCGCCACAGTGTGAATGAGGTCTCTCAAAACGGCTCGGAATTTAATATCCCGAACTTGGCCCGCCTGTTCGAGTATTCTCCCCTCTGTCCGAGTATTCTACGAGAGAGAAGAGTTGACATCAGAACATCGTTTACGCGGCTGTGAACTGTAAAGTAGCCGCACTCAGCAGGTGACGTGGCCGGCCACTCCCACGAGTGCGGCAAATTACGATTGTCTTGTCACATGTCCTGTCAGTGTCGGTGTCAAGCAATTTGGTGAGGCAACGGGCGTGGATTAAACACTTGTGCGTTTTCCTTCTGTTGCCTTCTGACCCACAACTCCTTATAGGGAGTGTAGCCGCCGTAGAGCACATTCACAATTCACGCCCCATTGACACACCCAGTCGCTTTGCTGTGATATGGAAGTCCCCCAATCTTTCCCTTCACTAAAAAGTGACCTTCAGACGTGCATGTGTAACGCCGTAGTGGCAAGAGGCGCCGCTTAGGGCGTGCGCGGTCCTAAAGCTAAATCTCAGCTGTGTACTTACCCAGGTCGATCCATTCCATCCTTCCGGAGCCAGTAAACTGGAATCAGACTAGTTTGGGAAAAGTTGACGTCCCTTCTTCCACAAGTGGCACGATGAATCCCTAAAAACGAGTAGGGTCAATACGCCTGGCAGGACAGAATTCCGCGACCCTAAGCAGGCGCTGCGTAACGCCTTTCCCAGGGAAGGTGCCCTTATAAGGGCCCTATCAAACTACAACATACCGACCCGAACGCCGCCCACAAATGGACGACCGTACCTGATGCTCGTATTGCTTCATTTGCTAAGTAAAATATGAAGCGAAGGCATTGGTATGAAGCGGCTGCGATGCTGCATGGATATATGAGTACATACATGCAGCCGTACTTACCGTAGCGGTCATTGGCAGGGTGCCTACGGGAAACTCGTCCGAAATTGCTTTTTAAGAACGAAGGCTTTTCTTCGCAGTTTTCGACCGTTTCACTTCGTTTTTTCGCCATTTTCCTTTTATATAGCGCCCTGCTAGCAGTTTAGGCCGAGTACCATATTGTCGTGCCAACTGCCTTTAAAAATAGACAGCACAAACAAACAAACAATCAACCCTGACCAGGCATTTAATCGGGAGAACTGGCGTCATCGTTTCACAGAAGAGTGGACCCTGCCAGCCGGAGGGGTAGACTTTAACACGAATCGCAGTTTGCTGAATAGACCAAATCGCCCTTACGATTACGAGTGGATTTTTAATGCGTGAAACGTCCCAAGGACGAATTCGTCACTATTGATACTTTTTTACCTTTTTCAATTGAAAAGGAGAAAGTACATTCACCTTAGTTCACCTTCACACTGGTGACGTTCTCCATTTGATTAAAACCTCACTTTATGTTGAGATGAAATTCTGGAAATGACGATAAATAGTGGTTCTTTTCGCAATTTGTCGGACTTTATTCTAATCCGAAATGGCGTCTCTGTTCAGAACACATAGTAAGCCGCTTTTAAATCCATGAATTCGCCAACCATTAGCTCCGATCACATAGTAAGGCCGACCATCGACCATTCGATACGATGCGTTCCATCTGTAATTCCTGCCAAATCCTTCTTCATCGTGGAGCTGCACATTTGTCATTTACAGCTGATTTTAGAGGCTTATTTATTCATTTATTTGGCAATGATCGGAAGATTTGTGCTAGAAAATGTGCCAGCAACTTTGTCATGTGTAACTTTTATGATGAGTTTCTACTCAGTGTCCTTTTATTTCAGTTGTAATTCGTGGGATGAGATACGCTGAATTTCATGAAATTCACAATTATTGGGATTATATGAGAAAGGTCATGATGGTGCAGTAGCAAGCCGTGTTGCTTACTGCTTTTTCGAGTTCTGAGGAGTTGCCTTTCATAACAGCAGTCATCTTTGATAAAACTTCATTCTGATCTATCTGAATTATGAAATTATCAAGTTTTACAAAAGCATTGGGTAAAAGTTTTGTAGTGGCAAG